GCGGGCAGACGTGGGGGCGCCGCCTGACGGGCCAGGCCTCAGGGGGCCCCGGGCGGAGCCCTTTCCTGTCCCGGTGGGAGAGAGCGGACCTGGGGTTTGGGGGCGCCCGCCCGTGTGCAGGGCTGGGGCGCCCGGGGGGGGGGGTTGGGGTGACCAGGCAGCTCGCCCGGGACTGCCCGGGGCAAGGCCGGCCTCCGTAGACCCCAGCGGCTCCTTCACCAGGAGGGCGGCCCCGCGCCCGCCCCGCAGGTTCTGGGGAGTCACCGGGACCCCCGCGGCCGGAGGGGCGCTCGCGGCGGGGGCGCTTCCTGGGGAGGGGAGCCGCCGGCCCGCGGGGTGGGGCGCAGGGGCGAGGGCGGCGGGAGCGTCTTCGAGGCCCTGGGCAGAGGCGCGGGGCGGCGGGGCAGCCCCTCGGGGGCGGTGCCGGGCCCAGCGGGCTCGCGGGGGAGGGGCCGGCCCGCGCCCCGCGGCTGGAGGGGGCGCCCGGCCGGGGCGGGGGCGCGGCCGCCGGGCCCGCCTGGGGGCGGGGCGGGGCGGGGCGGGGTCCGGGCTCCTCCGCCAGGCCCCGCCGCGGGGCGCGCACAGCCCCATGGCGCCCCAGCCCGCCCGCCGCCGCCCGCCGCTGCTCGCCTGCTGCCTCGCGGCCGCCTGCTGCTGCCTCGCCGCGCGCGCGGACCCGCCGGCCGGGGTGTGGCCGCAGGGCGCGGCCGGGCCCGCCGCCGCCCCGGGCTCGGGGACCCCCCCCCAGCCGGGCCGCGCGCCCGCCCGCCCCGGCGCGACCCCGACCCCGACCCCGAGCCCGAGCCCGAGCCCCGCCGCCCGCGCGGCCGCCAGGGAGGAGAACATCGCGGGCGTCGGGGCCAAGATCCTGGACCTCGCCGAGTACATCCAGACCTCGCTGCGCTGGTGGGACGGCGGCGCCCCCCGCGCCCCGCCCGCGCCCCCGCCCGCGCCCCCGCGCGCCTCGGGCGCCCCCCGCGAGGACGGGGCGGGCGGCCGGCCGGGCCCCGACGCGCAGACCCCGGAGGCCGCGGCCCCGCCGGCGCCCACCCCGCCGCCTCCCGCCCCGGGCGGGCCCCCGGCGCTGCCCACGGGGGCCCCGCCCGCCCCAGGTAGAGGACCGCGCCCCCCGCGCCCCCCGCGCCCCCCGCCGCCCGCCCTGGCCTCGAGCGCGCCCGGCCGCCCAGCCGCCCGCGGACCCGCGGCCGCCGCTTCCTCGCCGGTTCTTCCGCCTGCTGCCCGCGCCCCCCGCGCCCCGCGACCCCCGCGACCCCCGCGCCCCCCGCGCCGCCGCCAGCTCTGCCGGGCCCTGGGGGGCGCGGGCTGGAGGACGGGCCGCGCGTTCCTGGGGCCCCCGCAGGTCACCCCGCCGGCCTGGACGGCACTGCCCCCGCGGGGGAGGGGGGAGCGCGGGGCCTCTCCAGGCGGTGACTGGCCGGGGAGTGAGGGGCGCAGGGCAGAGGCCGCGGGCAGAGCCGGGTCCTCCCAGGCTCTGGAGGAAACAGGCCCATGTCGGCCACGGCTTGTGCGAGGGAGCCCCGGCCCGGCCCGGCGCCCGGTGCCTGACCCGGCCTGCCCAGCTCCAGGGCCCGGCGCGGCGGGCGGCTGCTGCTCCGAAGGGCGCCCCCCCCCCCGCCACGTGCCAGCGCGTCGAGCCTCCCCTGCAGCCTCCCCTGCAGCCCCTGCCCTGCCAGCCCGCACCGGCCATCACCGTGGGGCGGGCTGGGGGCGAGTTCAAGCCCCCCCAGCCCAGTCCAGGTGGGGGCTGAGCCTCCCTCCCCAGTGGACACGCCGGGGTGCGCCCCTCCCCCCACACCGCCTGGGGCACGGCCTTGACCTGCTCCGTTGTCCCCTGTCCATGGCCTTGGGCTTTGGAGTTGGTGGGGGGCAGGGCCGACTGGAATTCAGGTTCCCCAGCCACCCTGCCAGGCTCCTGAGGACTGTGCTGGGGCGACCCTGACCTGTGCCAGCGTGGGGTGCAGCGTGGAGGGCAGGTCAGCAGGTGCCAGTGCCGATGACCGCCGGGGCCCAACCCTAGGGAAGAAGCAGAGCAGATACATGAAGGGGCTCCTGCAGGCCAAGCAGCAGCATGAGGGGTGCAGGGGCGGGGGGCAGTGCCCCGTGGGGTCTCAGGCCTTGGGGGGGGCGGGGGGCAGTGCCCCCTCCTCAGTCACTGGGGGCTGTAGGGGGCAGGGGCCAGTGCCCCGTGGGGTCTCAGGCCCTGGGGGTGCAGGGGGAGCTGCTGCACAGCTGTCCAGGCCCAGCAGACTGGCCAAGTGGCTGAAGGGCCTTCTCACTGCACACCACGGAGGCCGGGGCTGGAGGGCCGCGTTCTGAGCAGGCCTGAGGGCCGTCCCGCCCACCAGCTGCCTGTGACCCCTCAGGCCAGGGGAAGCCCTCGGGCCCCCGGGGCCTGGCTGGAGCGCCCACCCTCCCACCCCTAGTGACTCTGCGGTCCCCACTCTGTGCAGTGGGGCGGCGGCGCAGGAGGGGGCCGTGACAGGAGAGGGTCCTGGCGAGTGGGGGAGCAAGGACCCAGGCGCCACTGGGGCTGCCTCTGAGTCTGGGGAGGGTAGAGCGCCCAAAACTGCCTGCAGGGGCTCCCCACTGCCCAGTGGGGTGTGTGCAGGGTCCACGTGCCAGCTGAGGCCACAGCTGGAAGAAGGTCGCAGCTGGCTCTGACCCCCGCCCCAGAAGGCCGCGCTGCCTCTGCCCGCAGCCCCTCCGGCCTCGCTCGGCTCCACGGCCCCTGGAGGCGCCACAGCGTCCGCTCGCTGGACAAGCCGTTGCCGGGGACTAGCGCCGGCCAGAGCCGCAAGGGCTGGCGGGAAGAGCGAGGGAGACAGGCGCTGGGACTGCCGGCCTCCCCAGCGCCGTTTCCAGCAGTTGTGGCTTCCTGCTCCGGGGGCCCCGGGGAGGAGCAAGACGGCGGCCGCCGTGACGCCCATGCGGTGGGTTGGACCCTCACGTGGGGGCCTCTCCCCGATGCTGACCTTCCCGGGCGACGGAGCCGACACTGTTCTGGTTCATGATGGTGGCCAGCCCACCTACCCGGCCACCCAGCTGTCCAGCTACACCCCCAGGGAGTGGACGTTCAGCTCCCCACGCTGAATTCTGTCAGTGACTCCACTTCAGGGTGGGGTTGTGGTCACTTCCCACCTGCAGACTGGGTCCCCTCCCTGCCCCCACCCCGGTGCCCCCCTAGGTCCTGCGATTCTCGCCTGCCACCCTCTGCCTGTGACGGGGGAGCAGGTACTGTCCCCCAGGCAGCCCCCAGGCCCCGCGTCTGACGTGCCCCCCCGGTGGGTGCACTCGGGCATGTCTGGCAGTGGCCATGGTGTGCTCTGTGCCTCGCCCGCTCCACTGCGGGCCCACGCCCAGCGCCACGGCCCCCCGTCCCACGCCTCCGACTGGGGGCCCTTGCTGCGGGGTGACCCGTGGGTCCTGATCTGGGCGAGTTCCCCTGGAATTCGGGGTTTGAAGGCTCTCGGATGTCCTGACACCCCCTCCAGATGGCCGCACCCAGCGAGGCCCCGGGTGGTGTGGACACACGCGGTCTGCGTCCCCCAGGACGGCGCCTCTCCTGCACTGGGTGCTGCCGTGGGGCCCACGGTCCCAGCGTCGCCTACAGCTTGCTTTCGGGCCTTCTGCTCCTGGACCATGAGCAGGACCGGCCTTCCTCAGCCTGTGCCTGGCTGAACGGACAGGACCCTCCCCTGTGCACCGGGAGCCCCCCCAACTCAAACGGTCTCTGCCGGTGTCGGCTGCGGTGGCCACGCGCTCTGCGTCCATTTACCGGTTCCCTTCTCCGCGCTCTCCTGAGCCCCACCCCGTACAGTCAGTAGCCGAGCTGGCCAAGCTGACCGGAACATCGGTCCCTTCTTGGACGTGGACGCCCCTTTCTTTGAAAAAAAAAAAAAAAGATTTATTTTTATTTATGCTATAAGAGCTGGGGTGCAGGCAAGAGGTGTGGGGGTGGGGGAGGCTGAGAGGACTCCCCAGAGACAGAGCAGGGAGCAGAACAGGCGGATCCACTGAGATCCACTGCTGAGGGGAGCAGCAGGGAGACGAGAGGCCTGCTGTGCCCTGTGGGTCAGCTCCCTGGCCGGGATGGACTCAGGCTGCAGTGGCTGGTGATAGCTTGAGAGCACTGAGACCGGCCCCTGCGCCCCCAGGGCGGCCCCCCTTTCTTTATTTCCGCCTCGCTGTCACTCGGTGTCCTGGGATGATGGTGTCCACAGGTGCTTCCTTCTGCTTGGGGGCCAATGCGCCGTTCTGACTTCAGAGCCGCGTGTGCGTGCTGGCCCCGAGCGGCATCGCCGGCCTAGCGGCAGGGCCTTGTCATTCTCTGGGTTCCACACGGCGCCTGCAGCCAGAGGGGCCGGCGGCTCCGGAGGGGAGCCCGGGGAATCTCACGGAGAGGAAACAGGAACTTGGGGCCGCGCCGGGCACCTCAGCCTCCTGCGCTGGAGCTGCAGGTGCTGGAGAAGGGGTGACCCTGGGGAGCCCTCTGCGGCCTGGCCCTGTGGCCCGGTGCCCCCAGATGCACACTCACTGTCGTGCTCACACTCACGCACGTGCACAGGCTCCTGGTCACTCACGTGGCCTTCCTGGGGGCGTGTTCCCTCACGTGACCTGGCGGGTGCCCCCCAGTTCGGGAGGGCGGCTTCCCAGTTTAGACACAGCCCCCAAAGCACCCCAACACCTGGTGACTGGTGGCCAGTGCTCAGGCAAGGCCGGGGCCCAGGCCCCTGGCGGCTGCTACGGGCGGCATCTCCTGTCTGGCCTCTGGGTTCTGCTCCGGGCCGCAGTGGTGTCTTTGTGGTCAGCATTGGGGGCAGGGGGCCAAGCTTGGGGGCTTGGGCTCTGAGCTCTGGGGTGGGGATGGAGGTGGGGTCTCGGGGTGGGGGTGGGGCCGGTCCAGGTGGTCTGGGCCAGCCCAAGGCCGCAGGCCCCTGGCTCCAGCGCCAACCCCACCTGATGGGTCTCTCCTCTTGCAGATGACGCGCCTGCGGAGCTGGGGCTGCAGCAGCTGCTGGGGGTGCCCCCGCCACCGCAGGTCAGGCCGGTGGACGACCCCGATGTGGGCCCGGCCTTCGCCTTCGGGCCGGCCGCGGGGGGCGGCCAGGCGGCGATCAAGCACTTCCCCAGCGGCACCTTCTTCCGCGACTTCGCGCTGCTGCTGCTGGTGCGGCCGGCCTCGGAGGCCGCGGGCGTGCTGTTCGCAGTGACCGACGCGGCGCAGGAGCGCGTGGCCGTGGGCGCCAAGCTGGGCCCGGTGCAGGCCGGCCAGCAGGACCTGCAGCTGCTCTACAGCGAGCCCGGTGCCGCCGGCACCCGCGTGGCCGCCGCCTTCCGCCTGCCCGCGCTCGGTGGCCGCTGGACGCGCCTGGCCCTCAGCGTGGACGGCGCCTCTGCTGTGCTTTTCCGGAACTGCCGTGAGGTGGGGCGCCAGGCGCTGGAGCGCGCCCCTGGGCCGCTGCCGCTCGAGCCGGGCGCCGGCCTCTTCGTGGGGCAGGCGGGAGCCGCCGACCCCGACAAGTTCCAGGTAAAGGGGCGGTGCCGGACAAGGGGCCCGGGGCGGCGGGGCGAGGCAGGCCTGGGGTCCTGGGCCCCCCGGGGTGCTGCTGGGGCCAGCTGGGGTGCCAGGCACTGCTCCACGCCTGCTCAGTTACTCCCTAGCCCCCAGGCGGGTCCGTGTCCACACGGCTGCGTCACCCGCACTGAAGACGGGGCTCCGGTTCCGGGCCCAGCGGAGGCCTGAGCCTGGCCGTGCTCCTGTGCCTCGGCGGCCAGCACCCACTGCGCCAGGCCGGGCCAGGGCACCGCCAAGGTTGCGGCCGTGGGGTGGCTTTTACCCATCAGCGGTGCCCCAGCTCCTGGGCAGCGCCCCTCCCCAGAGGCGGGGGACCCGGCCCCCACACTGGGATGACCTTTAGCTAGAACCCCCCCTCTTGGGGTCGGCTGACTCCCAGCCCCCGCTGGGCAGCTGGGCAGCCGCAGGCCAGACAGGCAGCCCTGTGTAATGACGGGCCGGGACAGAGAGTTAATTATTGCCCAGACAAAGGCCGCTTGGTTATGGGGGGTTCTGAGTGCCAGTGACCTGGGTCTGAAAACTGACCTTTCGCCTTTGGCAGGAACTTTAACCCTGGGGCCTGGAAGCCGCGGGCTGTGGAGCCAGCTGGCGTCACTGTGCTTGGCCTCGCCCCTCAGTGGCTGCCCAGAGGGCAGCGGGTCCTCCCTCTGGAGGGGCAGTGAGTCCCCCGGGTGGCAGGTGCCAGGCCCGCAGGGGCTGGGGGGCGCGGGCTGCGCCGGCCCTCCTGGGTCTCCTGCGCGGGTGTCCCTGGCTTGACCGGCTGCAACGCCTCGGGGTTTGGCGAGCGCCGCGCCGGGGCCTCCGTCGTGGCTCTTCTCCTGGTCGTTTGCTGGCTGCTGGGAGAGTCGCGGGGTTCGCTAGGCCCCACCTGGCTGGCGCCACGTCCAGAGGCAGCCACGGTGGAGGTGGGCGGCCGCCCGCCCCCACCGGCCCCCACCCAGCCCCCACCGGGCCCTGCCCGGTGCTGACTCCCCTGATCCCTCCCTCACAGCCTCATCCGCTGAGTTGAGCCATTAGCATGGGAAGTTTCTGGAATTTTCTCCGTGGCGTCTGGCTCTGCACCCCATGCCCCTGTGCCCCAGGCCAGTCTCGGGGCAGGCCCTTAGCATCGCTGGGGTGCGGGCGCCGCTGACCCCACTGTGCTCCTTTCCTTCTCTTCCCAGACGAGTGCCCTAAAGTGTCTGGAAGGGCTGAGCAGTGTCCAGGGGCCGCCCAGCGGCGACCAGCGGTCAGGCTGTCAGCCAGGAGCTGGGGCCAGCGCGGGGCGGAGGGCCTGGGGGTGGCAGGCGGGTGTGCGAGCCGGAGCCAGGGCACGGGAGACGCAGGCTCGGGGCTGTGGGGGCTGGCGGGGGGGCACCGCGGGGAGCGCACCGCAGCGGCCAGCTCGCATGACGCTGCGCCTCTCTGTGTGCAGGGGGTGATTGCAGATCTGCGGGTGCGCGAGGACCCCCACGTGAGCCCCCTGCTGTGCAGGGAGGAGGACGGTGATGACGAGGAGGACGGGGTGAGCCCTGCGCAGGTTCCCCGGCTCCCCGGCGGAGGGTGGGAGGCGCCCCGGGACCGGCTGGGAGGACCCTGTGCTGCTGGTGGCCACGGGACACCCCGCCCGTAGGCCCCAGGAGGCCTGGTGGGGCAGGTCCAAGCGCAGGGCGGGCACCAGGGCCAGGCCAGGAGGCCGGGTGTGTGTGAGCACGTGAGTCGTGTGCACGTGTGTGGGGTGTCCCGTGTGAGCGTGCCCGTATGTATGTGCGAGCCTGCACGGTGGGCTGGGCGGCCACGGGGCAGCAGCGGTGGGGGCGGGGCAGGCTCTCTGGGCTGGCCGAGACCAGGTGCCTATGGGGGCGGTTGGGGGCTGCTCACGGCCCCTCCTGTGTCCTCCCTCTCAGGCGTCGGGAGACTCGGGGAGTGGACAGGAGGACCTGCCCACGGGGACGGTGAGTGGGGTGGGGCTCCATGCTCTGATGCCCCGGGGTCCCTGCTGGGCTCACGGCCATCCCCTGCGGCAGCCGGAGGCCTGGCCGTCGATGCAGGGGCCGCTGTGAGGCCAGGCCCTGACCCTGTGCTGGCCGTGCGTGGACCGTGACTCCGCCAGGCAGAGCCCAGGCGTTTCACTTCGGAGCTGAGCCAACCGTGCCTGACGCTGGGGCTGGCAGGCTCCAGGGGCGGGTGGTCTAGAGCCAGGAGCCAACCCCCTCTCCTTCCAGGGGGAGCCCCCGAAGCCCCTCCTCCCCGAGGCGCCCCCAGTCACGTCTCCACCCTTGGCTGGAGGCCACAACACAGAAGACTCCAGAACTGAAGAAATCGGGGAAGAAACGACGGTGTCTCCACTGGGAGGTGCCAGCCTCTGGGTGGTGGGGCATGGGGTGTCCCTGGCGCCTGTCCCTGGCCGCATGTCCTGGGCATGAGCACTTGGGGTGTACCGGGCACCAGAGTCTGTCACGCCGGGTTGTGTGAGAGCCCCGGGCACCCAGGGTGGCGGCCCCGTCCCCCCACGGTGTCCTGCAGGCCTCGTGGCCAAGGCCAGGATGTGAATTTGCCCGGAATCTGATGCTTTATCCCAGGCCAGGGTTCAGCTGGTCCTGGCGGGGCCTGGGCGGGCAGGGCTGTCCGAGGGCGGGTGAGTGGCCTCGCTGCTGGCCACAGGTGCAGCTGCTCCCCACGGAGTGGGGGTGTGGGTCAGGGTAGGGGCCATGGTGTGGGGGCGTGGCCGTGCGCTAGCTGGGAGGCCCCTGCCCGGGGCAGGGTGGGGCTGGCCAGTGCCCGGGGGGCGCTTTTTGGGAGGGCTGTGGGGGCCTCTGCTGTCACGCAGTCCAGGTTTCCTGGACAGGGTGGTCTCCCCAAGAGCCAGGGGAGACCCCTGGGAGGGCCCCTCTGGGTGGGGCCGGGGCCTCAGACCCCGCCTGGCTGGCTGAGCCGGCAGCCCCAGGTCCGCAGCACTGTTGGGCGCCTGCTCCCGGTGCTGGCCCCGGCGTCTGCCACGTGGCACTGCACTGCACAGGCCAGCAGGGCGTGGGTGTGGGTGTGTGGGTGCCAGGCGACAGCTGGGGTGCAGATGTCCCCGGCCACCACGTCCTGCTCCTGGGAGCCGGGCCTGGGGGACGACAGAGGTGAGGACAGGAGGGCGTGGGGGGGGGTGGGCATGAGGCCTGAGGCCCATCTCCCCCAGCTCAGACCCTCTCTGGCTTGGAAGTGACCGCCTCGTGGGACGGAAGCGCCTGGAATGCTGGGGGTTTCGTGGAAGAGGTGAGGCTGTGCCCCTGTGGCCTCGGGGACTCCACAGTGACATGAGAGCACCCCTGGGCTCAGCCCTCCCTGGGGGTGCGGGGCAGCTCCCCCAGCACGAGAAACCCGCCGCTCGGCTTGCCCTGCTGGTGTCAGTGTCCCATGCCCAGCTCTGGGCCGTGCACACGCTGTCCCCCATGTCCCTGGGGCAGCCCCCCGGTGACACAATCTGGCTGGGACTCGGGAGGGCGAGCAGGCGAGCTCATGGGGATCCCCCAGCCTGTCCCCTGTCCTCTGTCCCCAGGCGCCAGGCATCCAGGGCCTGCCTGGCCCAGCCGGTCCCCAGAGCCCCGCAGGCCCAGCTGTGCCGAGCCCCGATACTCAGCCAATCCCCGGGCCACAGGGCCCTCCAGGCCCCCCAGGGCCGCCCGGGAAGGACGGCCCCCCAGGGAGGGACGGCGCGCGGGTGAGTGGGCGCTTGGCGCTGGCCCCGTGGGAGCCTGGGCTGGGGTGGGCCGCCCCACATCCCCGGGCAGGCACCAGCACCCACACTTCTCTCTTCCTCCCCTCAGGGCGATCCTGGTGCAGACGGAAGGCCTGTAAGTGTGGGGCCCGGACAGCTGGGGAGGGCAGAGCACCACCCCGGGACCGGCTTGGCCACAGGGCGCACAGGACCCGCAGGGCCGCGCACGCCTGTCAGGCTGGGGCCTGTGGGCCGGGCGGCGCCCGCAGATGGCAGCTGTCTGCTCTGGCACAGCGGCTCTGGGTCCTGCCTGGAGCGGGGACCCGCTGGCCGCTCAGCTCATCCAGTTGGGCCCGCGACCTGAGGCCGCCCTGTCGGGGCAGAGCAGCGGGTGGGCAGGAGTGGGCGCCCTGTGTGCAGGGTCCACGCGACCCTCCCTGGGAAACGGGCAGCACCCACAGACTGGCCGCCCGTGCCGCGCCCCCTGGCGCCCGTGCCCCTGGCCGCTGACTTGGCAGCAGGCTGCACGCGCTGTCCTCAGCCCACAGCACATGCGTGTGCCCCAGCCCAGGCACCCCGGGTGCACCGTGCGGCGTGTCCCGATGCTAGCGGCCCTGCCAGGAGGGGCCAGGTGCAGAGCTGGGCCGGGCCTGAGCCTGGGTCCTCTGTGCACCGCCCCAGCCGCCCTGGAGCGCAGGCCCTCGGGGGCTGAGCGCCTGCCCGGCCCTGACCCAGCCTCCCGGCTCTGTCTCCAGGGTGACGCTGGGCCGCAGGGCTTCCCAGGATTCCCGGGAGACGTGGGCCCCAAGGGCGCGAAGGTGAGTCTCCGGCCGGTGGGAGGCTCGTGACCTTCTCCACCCCCACGGGGCCGCGCGCTGCAGTGGCGGGGCCTTCTCTCTCCAGGGGGACCCTGGGCTGGGGCCACGAGGACCCCCAGGACCCCAAGGACCTCCAGGGCCACCAGGACCCCCCTTCAGGCCTGACAAGCTGGTGAGGCTCCCCGCCCCCCCGCCCGGTCCTGACTGCCCCCCACAGGCTCAGGCCTAGGCTGTCAGCTCCTTCCCAGGCCCCCCGGGGCTGCTGGGCTGCAGGGTGGGAGTGGGGTGCCGCCCTTCTCCCTTTGTCAGTTAGCGGGGCGGGGGGCACGCGCTCTGGCTTCTGTTCATAGAGGTCAAGCTGTGAGTGGGCGGGCTGGGCGCGCGGGGCGCCTGGGGCGAGCATCTCCTCTCTCCACAGACCTTCATCGACATGGAGGGGTCTGGGTTCAGTGGCGACCAGGAGAGCTTCCGCGTGAGTGTCCGGGGCCGGGGCGGCCTGTGCCCTGCGGTCTCCGCACGCGGGCGCTGGGTGGGGCAGCGAGAGGCTGTTCGGGGTGGGGGCTTCATGCACTGAGTGCCCTGACTGGTCTGTCTGCCCTGCCCAGGGCCCGAGAGGCTTCCCCGGCCCCCCCGGCCCCCCGGGCGTCCCGGGCCTGCCTGGAGAGCCAGGCCGCTTTGGCATGAACAGCACGGTCATCCCGGGCCCGGCAGGCCTCCCTGGCGTGCCTGGGCGGGACGGGACCCCCGGGCTTCCTGGTCCCCAGGTAAGGCCGCCCCTTCCCGGGCTGGGTGGGCGCGGGCGGGGCCTGTCCGTCCTCCCCGCTGCTGCCCCAGCCTTTCCGGGGCTGTCCCCACCACGCCCGGTGGGCTGCAGCTCAGAGACAGCCCCCCTGGCTCGGCCGTGGGGCATCCTGGTGTCCTCGGTGCTCAGGGAGCCTGCGGGCGCCCGATAATCACCTGTAAGTCCTTTCAAGCCGCTGAGTTCCCCGCTCTCCTCCCCAGGGTCCCCCGGGGCCTCCAGGAAAACACGGACGGCCAGGAGCCACTGGCCAGAAAGGCAGCCTCGTAAGTCCCCACCCCAGGGGGAGCAGGTGACCAGCACCCGGTGGGGACGCCCCCTTCCTCGCGGCCCTGCCCCACAATCCTGCGGCCCGAGCCCGACCCCATCCTGAGGCCCCCCAGGCCCCAGCCAACTGCGGCTCCCAGGGCAGCGCCGGCCTCCCGTGACTTGGAGCGGTGGGGTCAGCGCGGGCCTTGCCGGTGGGGTGCCTGCAGCTGCCAGGCTGCGCTGGGCCCCGCCCCGGGCCCCATGTGGATTTTGCACGCAAGAGCCGGCAGCGCCTGCGCCCTCCCTCTGGGTCAGCCCCCGGAGAGGCCGGGTCAGGGTGGGGCGGGGCCCCGGGGGGCGGGTGCCCGCCCACCCACCAGGGTACAGCACCACCAGTCTGTCCCCACCCGAAAAGGGCCAAGGGCACACGGGCGCTGCAGAGGCACGGCCTCCGGGGGCACGCTCGGGCCCCAGAGGGCCGCCGGGAGCCGCGCGGTGTGAACCGAGGGGCAGCACCGGGCTGGGCGGGGCGCGCCGTGTCCTCGCTCGGGGTGTTCACGGGGGTGTTCTCTGTCCCGCAGGGCGAAGCCGGAGCCCCAGGACCCAAGGTACAGAAACCACTGGGGACCACCCCCTGCAGAAGGTCCTGACCCACGGGGTCCTGTGCCTCGGGAGACGGGGCCTGGCTTCTTGCCCCCGGCCAGGCCGAGCGGGCGGGCTCGGGCGCGGCGGAAGCGCTCCCAGGGGCCAGCCCGGGGCGGGGGAGGCGGAGGGCTGGGTGGGCGCTGCCAGGACCCCAGCGGGCAGGGCGGCTCCCCGAGGCTCTCGGCCCGAGACGCCGGCCGACAGCGGGCTGCGCCAGGAGGGCCCCGGGCGAGGCCAGGTCCGCGTTGTGCACGGGCAGAGTGTGCGCGTGTGTGCGCGTGAACACGCCCCGAGCCTGGCCTCAGGATACACGAGGAAAGCTCTCTGGGGCAGGCAGGTTCCAGGGGAGAGGCCTCCGGCTGTGGGGGCCGCGCGGCCTGAGTGGGGGTGAGGAGGGCGAGGGCGGCCGGGTGTCGGGGAGGCGTGTCAAGCCCACGAGCCGGAGGGTGCAGGAAGGGCGAAACCCGCAGCCAGGAACGCAGCGTCCAGGCCCCGGAAGCCTGAGGGCCGGGGTGCGTGGGGAGCAGCCGGCCGGGGTGCAGGGCCAGGTTGCTTCAGCCGAGGGGTGTCAGGAGCTTGGGGTTCACACAGCTGGGGGCGCGTTCTTGGCTTCTCAGCGAAGAGCAGTAGGGAAGTGGAGGTGCGTCGGGTGCAGAGCCCTTCTCGGGTTCAGGAGTGTCTTCTCCCCTGTGCAGGGAAGCAGGGGCGACCCTGGCCCCATGGGCACTCCCGGGGAGGCTGGCTTGGCAGGACCCGCTGGACCACCAGGGCCCCCCGGGCCCCCGGGGCCCCCCGGACCAGGACTCGCCGCGGGATTTGTGAGTAGCGGCTGCTGCGGGCCCTGCACCGCCAGGCCCCGGCTCGGACTGAAGCCGCGGGCGGGGGCGCTGCCTGGATGGGGGTGCTGCCTGGATGGGGGCGCTGCCTGGATGGGGGCGCTGCGGGGACGGAGCGCCTTTGCCCCCTGCTGGGCCGCGGGTGGCCTCAGACCCGCAGACCTGAGCGTCGCGTGTCCTGCAGGATGACATGGAAGGTTCCGGGGCGCCCTTCTGGTCGACACCCCGCGGCGCGGGTGGCCCACAGGTACGGTCCCCTTGCTCTTGGGCCGGGCCGCCCAGGAGGAGCGTCGGGCAGCTCCGGGTCCGGTCCTGACGAGCAGTCACGGGGGCCCTGGGGCCGGCTGGGGCGGCCATCAGGACGGCGGCTCAGGGCGGGTGAGGGCGTGTCCTGGCGGCAGCAGCTCCTGCGTGGACGCCTGAGGCCAGCCCGGCCCTGGGAGGGCAGAGACAGCGTCCCCCGACTCACGGGGGTGCTGGGGGGGCCTCTGCCCGTGTCTGGCTTTGCTCCCGGGCTGCCGCCTGGCAGGAATGCGGCTGAGACAGGCCCTGCTCTGCGCGACATCCCTGCGACGGCCCCTCAGGCCCACACCCCTCAGGCCCCTCAGGCCCACACCCCACACCCTGGGGCAAGGCCCCCCGCCCTCCAGTCCAATGCGGCTGAGGGAGCAGCCACGCCAGGCGTCCACACGCATGAAACACGCTTGCTTTTTACTTAAATGAGATGCCAGGGTCAGTGTCGGGGACTCGAGCAATGGGGGGCGCCCCAGGCTGGTCCCTGGGGTGATGTCACGGGGTGGAGGTGATGGGGCGTGTGACTCTGGGTCTGGGTGGGCGCTGTCCACGCGGGGGGTGGGCAGCGGGGCCCACACTCTCAGGGGCCACTCACCACCATCCGTCTCTGCCCACAGGGACTGCCCGGCCCCCCGGGAATCAAGGTCAGTGAGGCGGAGCAAGTGGGGCGTCCCCAGGGCACTGTTTTGGGGTGCAGAGCCCACCCTGGGAAGTTTGCAAAATGCAGCAGCAACACGTGGTGCCCAGGGACTGTCCTGTTTCGGGGCAGCCCCGAACCTCCCTCTAGAGCTGAGTTGAGACTGCTGGCTCCGTGCATTGGGAGAAGAGGCCCGGGAGGGCACGCAGGCCCCGCAGGCCCCGCAGGACGCCATCGGGCCGGGGATATGGGGTGGGGCGAGGCCCGAACCAGGGGCCTCTGGCGGCGCTGCCTGGGGCACCACTCATTCTCACCTTCTCCATCTAGGGGGACGCCGGAGACGCCGGGCCGCCGGGCACCAAGGTGAGCCCTGAGCCGCTGTGGCTAGCACCCCCGGCCCCCCGCCCCCCGCTGTGGCCAGGCCCTGCCTTTATTCTTCCCCATCAGCCCAGGCCTGTCCCACGGGGCACCCTGGGGTACCCACCCCCAAGTGTGACCCCGGTCCTGGTTCCCCAAGGTCCCTGGCAACCTTGCCCCTCCCTGCCCCCCCGGGAGGCCCGGGGTGTCCCTGGGGCGAGCTCCTGGCCAAGGCCCGTGGGCTGAGCACGAGGCTGGGCTCAGGGCCTTTCTGTGGGCCCTGCAGGGAGACATCGGGCCCCAGGGGGCTCCCGGGTTCCCAGGACTTCCTGGCGCAGAGGGAGCAGCCGGAGCCCGGGTGAGTGGGCAGTGGTCTCGGGGCACCCCTGGGTGCTCTGGGCCCCCAGGCTGGTGCTCCGTGCCCTGCTGTGGCCAACCCCCAGTCCACAGGGTATGACTGGGGTCCTGGCCGCCCTGCGGTTGCCGCCCCAGGCCCGCGTGGGCACAGGCGGGAGGGCTGGGTAGCTGGGCTGGGCGGGCCGGGGTCTGTTCAGGACGAGCCCCCACCCCATCTCCGCAGGGCCCCAGAGGAGACAAAGGGAGCCGGGGCGAGAAGGTGAGCTGCCCCCGCGGGGTTCGCAGGGGCACGGGCCGGCTGCGGGTCGCTCCCGCCGCCCACACCGCCCGCCCCGGGGCTCTGGGAAGCCCTCGGCCTGACCCCCGCGTGCCTGCGTCGGGGCCGACACCAGCTCTCTTCCAGGGTGACCCCGGGAAGGATGGAGTGGGGCGGCCAGGCCCCCCGGGGCCGCCGGGGCCGCCCGGACCCGTGGTCTACGTGTCGGAGCAGGACGTAAGGACGCCGGGCGCTGCCCCTTCCAGGCCCCACCCCGATCCCACCCGGGCTGGGAGGCCACGGTCGGGCCCCCTACCAGTGACCCCCCCAAAGTCTGTTGGTCTGTCCTGACACCTCCTCACTCCTCAGGAGGGAGGGAGCATGTGAGGGGGCACTCAGAGGGGAAGGGATCCCCGGGGCCTGGCCGTGGGGCCTGCCCAGCCTCCTGGTCCCCCTGGCCCCCTCGCAGAACGGGGGGTGGCTGGTCCTGTCTGGCCTGGGGGTGCGGGCGCAGACCCCCGGAGGGTCCACCTCTACAGGGGCCCGAGGCAAAGGCGGGCGACGGGTGTGGCGGGGAGCGGTCGTGGGGGTTGTGAACGTGCCTCCTTGCCCCCCACTTCCCAGCGCCCACAGAGGGCAGTGGTTGCTGCGCCGGGGCCTGAGGTACGTGTGCTGTGTCCAGGGCCGCGGTGGGCGGGGCCTGCGCTGTCCCCGAGCTGACCCGTCCTCTCTCCACAGGGCAGGGCTGGCTTCGCCGGCTTCCCCGTAAGTATCCAGCGGGCGGGTGGGCTGGGAGACCAGGTACGCCCGAGGGCTGGGACGAGGGGCCCCGGGTGGGCAGCTGGGACCCTCCTCTGGGCAGGTGCTCGGCCTCCCCCCGCGCGGGTCACTCGGCCGTTACTCCTGTCTCCGCAGGGACCAGCTGGGCCAAAGGGCGACCTGGGCTCCAAAGGCCAGCAGGGCCTCCCCGGCCCCAAGGTGAGGCCCGCCCAGCCGCTTGGGCAGCTGCCCCTATGGCCGAGGGCAGGGGACCTGGGCCCGAGGGCACTCGCGGCCTCTCGTCATTCCCATGCCCTGGGCCTGGCTGGGGCGCCGCAGCCTGCACGGCTGTCCAGGGTGTTGATGCCCCAAGCTGGGCTCATGGAGGGGCGGGAGGCCCTGGAGAGGGGACCGGCTTCCCTGACTGTGTGCTGTGTCCAGGGTGAGAAGGGCGAGCCGGGCACCGTCTTTGGCCCTGAAGGCAGGGCACTGGCCCCCGCCCAGAAAGGAGCCAAGGTGAGTGACCACCTGCTGCTGACCTTCGTCCAGGCGGGGGATGGGCTCGGCTTCCTGAGAGGGCAGGGGCTGCCCACACAGGAGAGCCCCCTGAGCAGGGCTCCAGAGCCTTCCACAGCCTGGCCCCTGCCCTCCTGTCCCTCCTCTTCCACAACCACACAGGCTGCCCGCTCAGACCAGCCTGGTCCTGAGGGCAATGTGACTCCAGGCCGTCTGTGGGGGGCAGGGAACCCCAGGAGCAGCCGACCCGCAGGCCCAGGTGCCCGGGGGGGGGCAGGGTCCTCCTGGGGAGCCAGCTGGGTGGGCCGGGGGCCTGTGCCCGAGTCCCTCCATCCTAGCAGGTGGCCCGGCCCCAGAGGGCCAGGCTTGCAGGGGCCCCAGCCCCTGGGACTGTGCGTGGGGCCGAGACGGGGGCTGCCAGGGTGGCGTCCGGTCGAGGCCTCGGCAACGCCATCGCGGGGGCCCCAGATCAGGGCTCAGCGTGCCCAGCAGCCCTGGCACCCAGCCTGGCCCTGCCTGCGGTCAGCCTCAGTGCTGGGGAGGGGCCGCGCCCACCTAACAGCGTCTTCTGTTGTCTGCCCAGGGAGAGCCGGGCTTCCGAGGACCCCCGGTGAGTGGCCACACCTCCCCCAGCAGCGCGTGTCTGCGTGCGGCCAGCACAGCCCCCGCGGCCGCGGGCACGCGCCACCCATCTCAGACTCGCTCTCCCGCAGGGTCCCTACGGACGGCCGGGGCACAAGGGGGAGATCGGCTTCCCTGGACGGCCGGTGAGGACGGTCCCGGCCTGGCCGCGGGCAGCGGGGCGCGGGGGCTGGGGGCGGCGCGGGGGCACCCTCTCAGCCTCCCCACCATGCTCCGCAGGGCCGCCCCGGGGTGAACGGACCGAAGGGGGAGAAGGGGGAGCCCGGGGACGCCAGCCTCGGCTACGCGCTGCCGGTGAGTGTCCCGTGAGGGGTGGGGCGCGTGGCGGCCGTGGGAGGCCCCCCCCCCCCCGCCGGCCCCTGCGGGTCTGGTTGCAGCGTCTCGTGCTGGGGTCCATCTGGGGAGCAGCGCGGGGCGAGGAGGCAAGCCTGGCCCTGCGCAGACCCCGCCCGGCCGCCCGCCCCTGCCCTTCCCGTGGGCCCTCGCGGCCTCCTTTGAGCAGCCAGGCGCTGCGGTTCGGTGGGTCACCCAGCCCAGGAGGAAGCCGGCCGGGTCCTTCCCAGAGCGGAGGCGGCGCTGGGTCGCTCTCTCCCCTTGCGTTCCCGCACCGCGATGCCGGGAGGTGACCGACGGCCCTGTGCCGACCAGCGCCTCCTGTGCCCCCCGCAGGGTCCGCCCGGCCCCCCAGGGCCCCCCGGGCTCCCAGGACCTCCCGGCACACCCGTCTACGACAGCAACGTGAGTCCCCCCATGTCCCTCCCCAGCCAGCCGCTTTCTTTCCACTGCTCCCCCAGGGAGGGCAGGACCCAGGCAGGGGATGGCCCTCTGGACGGCGTGGCCCCTGGACGGCGTGACCGCCAGGAGGACCCTGACCCAGGGAGGGACTGACCCCAGGCAGAAAAAGCCCAAGTCAGGGTTTTGCCTCCGGCAGGGGTCATTGGAAGGGCTGGACCCCGCCCAGCCCCTCTCCTGTCTGTGGGGTCCCCGGGAGGGCAGGCCGTGGAGGAAGGACAGTCCTGCGGGGAGTTAAGGCTGGGCAGTGGGTCTCCCTGGTCTGGGCATCTCAGCCCTGAGCCCCACGGGGGATGAACTCCCCTTCTTTGAGGGTCAGCTGTGTGAAGTGACCCACGAGAGGCAGGTCACGCAGTGACCACGGCCGCACCCGCACCTGCGTCCTCGCCCTCCTGCTCCCGGCCCCGGCCCCGGCGGGGTCTCTCCTGGGCCCTGCCCTCCCTCCTGGCCAGCCCATGTGTCCTTTGCAGGCATTCGTGGAGTCGGGCCGCCCCGGGCCTCCGGGATCGCCAGGTGAGGGCTCCTGGCCGTGGGGCGGGGCCCATGTGGGGCGTGGGTGCGCTGGGCTGAGCTCCTGGCAGACCTGCGTGTTCACGCTGGCGAGAGCACCAGCTGCCTGATGACCCCGCACGGCGGCCCCCACGGCCCCCGCAGTGGGCCCAGCCCTGCTGGCCATCGCACGCTTGCCCTGACCGCACCGGGTCCCCAGCCTGTGGCGTGCCCCTCCCTCGGGTGGGCACGTGGACCAGAGGGTGTCGCCCAGAGGCACCTCCGCGCCACCACGAGTGGACACTGGCTCTGTCCCGACAGGCTACCCGGGGCCGTCTGGACTTAAGGGCGACAAAGGAGAAGTGGGCCCCCCCGGGCCTCCAGGTGAGCTTGGCGGGGGCAGCTGCGGCACGGGCATGGTGGGGCGCTCAGGGCCCTGGGGCCTCCTCCTGGAGGACCGGAGCCCCTTCCAGCTCATATGGGAGCCCCTAGCGCGGGGTTCTATATTCAGAGCTGCCCGGCCTGCCCACAGCCTGGGGGCCCAGGTCTAGGCCGCAGGCACGGGGTGCTCCTCTCCCCACCTGCTGCGGGCCGGGCCGGGCCGGTGTGCGCCTCCCAGGGAGACCTGGCGTGCCCAGGGAGCGTGTAGGGGTCCCGGATGTCCCCTCCCTCCAACTCTGTGGGGCCCGTTGGGGCAGTGCGGGACCACAGACCCCAGCACCTCTGGGGCCACAGGGGTGACATTCCCTTCCTGAGCCCCGCTCCCGCTGCTGGATGATGAACAGCCCGGCCGGGGGCTGCCCGTGCCTGAGGGGCCCCAGCGGGCTGGCACAGCAGGTGCCCACAGCTGCGGAAGCGGAGCTCACCAGGGGTGGAGAGGCCAGGACCAGGCAGCGCAGAGGCCAGAATGGCCAGGACACACGAGGCGAGGCCTGAGCTGCCTGTGGCACGGCTTCCGGGGTGTGTTAGTGTGCATGGCCGCAGGCGAGGGGGGAGTGGTGGGGACGCAGGCGATTCTGGGGCGGGCTCAGGTCAGCCCAGGGCCTGAGAACCGGAGCAGTCGGCCCAGAGCCGGGACAGGGTGCCGAGTGCCCAGGGTGTCCGGAGGCGTAGCCGAGGACTTCCGGCGCTACCGGAGGCCCCGAGTCCAACAGCTGCTTCTGGAACAAACCCAAGAAGCTGGAGGCTTGTCAAGGCTTCAGGGCGTCCTAAGAGCCGCTGCCAAGCTCGGACTCTGCAGGCGGTGAAAACATCCGTCCAGGGAATAGGGGTGCTGGCCCCGTGCAGCAGCCCAGGGGACTCTGTGGGCTCTGAGGGCAGGAGGTGACGTGGGGGCGGGGCAGCCCTGCCCTGGGGGCCTCTGTAGTCCCCCTCAAGCCCAACATGGTCCAAGAACGGGCGGGACCGGGAACTGACCACCCAGTGGGACCGTCGCAGGGCAGCAGGACATGGCCAGAGGGAGCGTGTCAGCTGCAGACGGGAAGCGGCGACCCTGCCCTCCAGCAGCACGGAGGGTAAACGGGCTGTGCCCCCACCCAAGGGCGAGCTTCGTCCGTGGGGCCGAGTGGGGCCCCCAAGCGCCAGCCAGAAAGCAGGGGCAGGAGGAGACACCGTGAGCAGGGGCTGGGGAGGCAACCAGAGAGCGCCTGGCCTGCGCGTGCCTGCGGCTGCACGTGTGTTGTGTGCACGCGTGGCGGCATCTTACACGTGTATGCGCGGCTGCACGTGTGCGCACTCACTTCTTTCTGCATGTGAGCTTGCACACAGGCGTGCACATGTGCATGCCTGTGTGTGTCTTAAGGCAAGGAGCAGCAACAGAAAGGTTTTTTGCTTTTTTTAAAGATTTATTTATTTATACAAGAACTGGGGTGCAGGTCCGAGATGTGGGGGGTGAGAGGACTCCCCAGAGACAGAGTGGGGAGCAGAGCACGTGGATCTATTGAAATCCACTGCTGAGGGGAGCAGCAGGGAGGCAGGAGAGGTCTGCTGCGCCTTGTGGGCCTCTCCCTGGCCGGCCGGGATCGAACCCACGCCGCAGAGGCTGCGGACAGCTCCACAGCGCCGCGCTCCACCCGCTGGGCCACCGGGGAGGCCCCCACAGAAAGGTTTTTAAAGACCTCATGATGGTAAGAGTCGGCTGGCCAGGGAGACGCCGCCCTTCCCGGTCCCTCTGCATAGCACGGCGAAGTTTCGCGACAGGAAGGGTAAAAACGAACAGTACCTGAGGAAGAAGGCAGCCGTCGTCGGGAGAAGTGGGCTCTGCAGGGACGATGAGGATGGGCCCACAGACAAAGGACACATGGGCCAGGAGGGGCAGCTCCGAGCACGGCCGTGCTCCTGGGAATGCCCCCCGGGCAGCGAGCCCCGGCGCTGTGGCCCGCTGTGCCCCAGGCTCTGAGGCCCTGCACTGTGGCCTGCTGTGCCCCGGTGCCTCGGTGCCCACTTGAGGGGCCTGGGTGCCAGCGCATGAGCTGGGCTGGCCCCTCAGGGCAGACTTCCTGTGCCCGCCGGGCAGAGCCCAGCGCCCGCCCCAGCACCCTGCTTGGCCATCGCGTTCTCCAGCCTCCAGGGAGGTGGTGAGAGAGCAGGTCACCCCAAGCTCACCCTCCACCCGGAGGGAGGGCCTTTCGTCTGCCTGGTTATAAGGTGGGGCCTGCCGGTCAGTCCTGAGTGTCCAGCTCAGAAAGTTAGAAGATAAATAGCAAATGTCACTTAGAGAAAACAGACGGGCAGAAGGAGCGAAGCCGGGCGAGCAGGAAGGCAGGCCGCCGGGAAGGAGCTCCGGGAAAGCGGCGGCCCCGAGCTGCTGCTTGGGAAAGGGGCGGCGAGGCCTCACCCGTCGCAGGCTCCAGCGGCCGGACTCAGGTGGCACAGCCTGCGATGGAGCCAGTCTGACCGGAGGCTGGTTGGCGAGCACGAGAGCCCCGCGCCCGCAGGCACGGCCTGGCCACACACTTCCCCGCGCGCCCCGAAGCCCGGACCCCGCCTGCAAGCCACTTGTCTCCTTCCCCCGCCTCGCGCCCCGCCGGGGCCCCGCAGCGGAGCGCACGTGAGTGAACTGGGCGAGAAGAGCACGCGCGGCCAGGGAACTTCGGGGTCGGTTCGCCAAGCGGAGGAAGCAGAGACAGCTGCAGCCGGAGGACAGAAACAAGCAGACCAGCGGCAAGAGGAGGAGCCGCGGCCGGCCACGTGAGTCGAAGGCTCGGGCCGTGGACGGCTCCCCGGTCCGCACGCGTGAGGAGACGGAGATTTCTAGATGGAGACGAGCCCCGCCCGGAAGGCACAGGTGCGCTCAGCCACGCACAGGCATGACGCCCAGGCGGCGACCAGGGTCTCCCCCGAGGGGAGCGCCCGGGGCCAGCTGACTGCACATGCGCTGTCGAGCCTCAGGGACGCGCGCTCGTCTCGCTAAGTGAAGTGCCTTTAAACACCGGCGAAGGGCGCGCCTCCGACACGCCCCGTGGCGCCGACACTGCCGGCACCTAGCAGGGCCAGACACCAGGCCCGTGCCCCGATGGGCGCCGACAGGAGAAGCTCGTCAGGTCACAGAAACCAGCAGCAGACCAGGGCCATCACCGTGGTCAGGGCGCTCTCCCGGGCGCGAGAATGCCGAGCGCCTGTGAATGGTCAGGGAGGGACGGCAGCTCAGCAGCGGATTAACAGACGTGTAATGCCGGCAGGGACAAGAAAGCGTTCGCTAGGCTCCGGCACTCAACTGTGATAAAAACTAAACAAGACCGGGCCTACCTCGTAGAACGAGGCCACACACGCACACCGAGCGCCCGAGGCCGGCTCAGCGGTGCAAACCGGAAACTCCCCCGAGGCTGGGCCGACGCGGCGCCGCCGCCACTGTCTGCCGGAGCCGTGAGGGCTTGGCCAGAGCTCTCGGCTGCGCCAGGGGGACACGCGTGTGGAGGCCGGGTCTGTCACGTCCACAGGTGGCGCGCTCTACACGGAGAACCCCACAGACGCTCCAGAGAGCCACAGGTGAGTACAGAGGGGCAGGTGGCAAAATCCACACGGGAAACCTGTAGCTTTTCTTACATGCAAACAATGAAGCAGCCCGAGAAGTCAAGAGAAAAATCAAAGCCTTCAAAAAGAATGAAATGAAATACCTTGAAGTTACCCTCGCTGAGGAGGTGAAAGACCCACACGGTGAGAACAAGACGTCCCTGGAGGATCTGGACGGGACGCCGGAGCCCCGTGCTCGCGGGTGGGGAGACCCAGCATAACCAAAACGACTGTCCTGTCCCCAAACAGGGTAAACCAATGGGACGCAACCCCATCAAAATACCAGCAATATTTTTCAATGACATTGAACAAGAACTGCCAGTGTTGCCATGGGGCCGGAGGGCGCGGGACCGCGAAAGCAGTCCTGACCAGCAAGGGCAGGCGCAGGCCCCCCGTTAGCGAAGCTGACTACAAGCAGCGGTCCCGAAAACCAGGGTGGACACACGGCCCGGGGGCCGAGTCGAGAGCGCAGCAGCCGCCGCTGCCAGCACCTAATCTCGCTGAAGCAGCCGCGCCCGCGGCACAGCCACGCCGGCGCGCCGAGCGGCCAAGCGGGAACCGGCCATTTTCTGTAGCTGGGGGGCGTTCGGGGGAATTAGAAGCAGCAAAGTCAGAAAGATACAAGCAAACACCGGACGTGGACCTCGCAGGTAACTCAGTCAAACTCCTTTGACCAGCCGGCGGGCACCAGTCAACAGTGTGAGGGCAAGGGGGGGGCCGGGGCCAGCAGGGATGGGGCCGCGGGGCCGACCGCAGGAGGGGTGGCAGTTGAACGTTTAGTAATAAAAGCGTCTCATTTGTCAAGAAGAAAAGGAAGAGTAGACTCCGGGAACACACGCAGCGCGCGGGGTCTGCAGCCGTGACGGGACGGGGAGGCTCGGCACCCGCTGGGGTGAGTGGGCGCGGTGAGCCCTCGCCTCGCTGAGCCCCATCTCTCCCTCCAGGGCAGTTCCCTCTGGACTTCCTTCACCTTGAGGCTGAGATGAAGGTGGGTGGCACCCGGGGCGCTGGACGCTGCCTGCCTCTTCGGGGGAGCTCGGTGGAGAAGCCAAGTCTTGGCCCACGGGGCCTGGTCAGACCTGGGCCGCGGAAGCTTCCAGATGCCTTGCCTGTTGGCTCTGGGGGTCAGCCGCCCCTCCCCGCCGACATGCAGGGGGTTCTCCTGACACACCTGTCCTTCCGCAGGGGGAAAAGGGCGACCGAGGGGACCCCGGGCAGAAAGGGGAAAGGGGCGAGCCCGGCCCCGGAGGATTCTTCGGCTCCAGTGTGCCCGGCCCCCCTGGCCCCCCAGGCTACCCCGGGATTCCGGTACGTGAGGCCCCCGGTGCCAGAGCTCACGGTCCCCCGGGGTCCCGGCCCCGTGGCCTGAGCAGCCGCCTTTCTGGGGCGCTCCCTGCCGCCGGCCTGAGCGTCCCGTCCGCCCCGCGGGCGCGTGCAGAGAGCGCCCTGAGGGGCTGGGGCCGCTGCTCTGGGCCAAGATGGCTCCCCAGAGGGGGAGCGCAGTGGGGGCCGGTGTGAGCAGGGAGGAGGCGCTGGCCCGGAGGCCCATGGGCCTGGACCCTCCGGCTCGCTGCAGGCCTCGGGGACAACGCTTGTTCTGTCCACCCAGGGCCCGAAGGGAGAGAGCGTCCGGGGCCAGCCCGGCCCACCTGGACCGCAGGGACCCCCCGGCATCGGCTATGAAGGGCGCCAGGGGCCTCCTGGGCCCCCCGGCCCTCCCGGCCCCCCGGGGCCCCCTTCGTTTCCCGGCCCTTACAGGCAGAGTAAGTCGGGCGGGGTGGGTGGCCTGGCCTGCTGCCGGTGCCCACGTCCCACCTCCCGTCTCTCCTGCAGCTGTCAGCGTCCCCGGTCCTCCAGGCCCCCCGGGGCCCCCAGGCCCCCCAGGAAACCTGGGCACCTCCTCAGGGGTAAGCAGGGGCTGCCCCCACCCGTGCCGGGCCTGCCGACGCCCTCCGCTGGGCCTGTGGGCGGCCGGGCAGGCCGCTGGGGGTGGTTTCCACACGGGGGCCCGGCGGCGCTGAGGGGTGAGGGGGCCGTGGGGCCTGGTGCCAAGCCCGCCTCTGCCTCCCTGGGGGGCCTTCTCAGGGCCACCCTGGTGAGAAGGGCGCCCCATGCCCTCCCAGCCCCTCACCAGGAGGCCTCTGCGAGCCCAACCCCACACATGCCCGGGCGCAGCCCCCCCCTCCCACCCCCGCCCTGCGCTCGGCCCACTGCACTGGCCCACACCCTGCAGGTGAGGATCTGGCCCACGTACCAGGCCATGCTGGACAAGGTGCCCGAGGTGCCGGAGGGCTGGCTGCTGTTCGTGGCCGAGCGCGAGGAGCTGTACGTGCGCGTCCGGAACGGGTTCCGGAAGGTCCTGGTAAGCTGGCTCGGGAGCTCGCCTGCCCCGCTGGGGGCGGCTGTGCTCAGGGACCCAGTTTCCAGGCGAGCGCCCCTCAGCGAGCGCGTGTCCCGTGTCCTCCGGGCGAGGTGCTGGGCGGGGCGAGGGGCGAGGGGCGAGGGGCGGGGCGCGCCCAGCCAGCCTGGAGGGAGGCGCGCCCGGCGCGGGTGGTTGGGATAACCCCTGGTTTCTTGCAGCTGGAGGCCCGGACGCCACTCCCCCGCGGCACGGTAAGGCACGCTTGGCCTCCCACGCTGTGCGCTTAGGGGCGTGAGCCTCGCAGTCGGGCTGGGGGCCTGGACGGGGGCGGGCGGGCAGCAGAGGGTCTCGCGGGCTCCAGTGTCCGGATCCGCACTTGGTAATTAAGGGGCTGGGGGGCTGCGGTGTGGGGGCTGGGATCCCACGCAGGGGGCGCCTCCCTTCAGTCCACCGTCACCCTCCACGGCACAGCAGCTGCTGGGGCCAAACCCCCGCCGGGCGCCAGGCCCGGGTGGCTCCTTCCAGCGCAGGCTGGGCGCGGGGAGGGGAGCTGGCTGGCTGCCGGCGGAAGCTTGCCTTTTGTGTCCCGTCCCGCTGCCGTGGGCCCCTGGAGCCGCGCGGTGAGGTCCCCAGAGGCACAGCGGCGTCCTGGGCTGTGTGGGCCTGTCCACCCTCGTCCCTTCACCCAGCCAGTCCCGGCCCCAGCCTCAGACCCATGCCGGCGGGCCAGGCAGACCGCTGCCCAGGAGCAGTGCCATGGGGGTGTGGGCAAGAAAGACGGGACATGGGCAGCGCGTCCTTTTCTATAAGGTGCCACATGGCTAAGCCGGGTACCCCAACTCTCAGGAGGTAGGTGGCGCACAGCGTAGATGCAGGGGGACGTGCGTGCCTTGGGGTGCACATACCCCTCTGAGATGGGAGCAGAGGCAGGAGTGGCTGAGGCCTCAGCCAGCAGGGACCCAGCACCCCGTAAGGCCAGGGACACGCGGCCCCAAGGGCGTCCTGCCCCCCGCAGGAAGCTGAGTGTGAAGGAGACGGGTCCCTGACCACACCTCACCAGATTTAGGCCTTAACTGGTTGACCAGGCCTCCCTCCTGGCTCCCAACCCCCTGTCCAGGACACCCAGGGTCTGCTGACCGTCTCCCATCCAGGCCTCTGGCTCACAGGAGTACAAGCTCCCCCATGGAGGGGGTGCCCTGCCTCATGCAGGGAGGGGCGCAGCGCCCCAGTGTGGGAGGGCTTAATGGGCTGACGGGTGCGGGAGCCCCCTCCCAAGGCACTGTCCACCTGGGTCGGCAGGACAACGAAGTGGCGGCCTTGCAGCCCCCGCTGGTGCAGATGCACGAGGGCAACCCCCACCCCAGGCGGGAGCTCTCCCACTCCACTGCACGGCCCTGGCGCGCAGACGACTTCCTGGCCAGCCCCCCGCGGCTGCCTGACCGCCAGCTGTACCCTGGAGTCCCGCACCACGGCTCCTACGTGCACCTGAGGCCAGCCCGCCCCACCCGCTCGCCCGCCCACACCCACCACGACTTCCAGCCGGCGGTGAGTGGCCTCTGGTGGCCCGCAGAGGTCATCACTCCTGGAAGCCTGCGGAAGTGGGGAGGGCGGAAGGGACAGCGCTGGGCGCTGCCCTGGTGGCCTCATTTCCAGGAGGTGCTGCCGAGGCTTGAGGAGCCGACGTGCTTGCGGGCTGGACGGGGCCGGTGGCCTGTAGCTGCAGCTTGGGGCCCAGTGGCTGGACTGGCCTTCAGGCTGTAGGGACAGGCGAGGCCTCCGGCCCGGGCCTAGGCAGGCTCTCACGGCCCCTGGGTACCCGCCTCGTGGGCCCTGGGCCTGCAGAGCCACGTGAGTGCCCTGCAGCCCTTGGCGGGCGTGGCGGGCGGCCGCAGAGCTCGGGCGCCCAGACGCGTGGGGGCGCGGGCTCGGGGCTGGTGGCGGGAGGGCGCCCGGGCGGGCAGTGGCCGCGGGGAAGGTGACGGCGCCGCGGTGTCCCCGCAGCTGCACCTGGTCGCGCTCAACAGCCCGCAGTCGGGCGGCCTGCGCGGCATCCGCGGCGCAGACTTCCAGTGCTTCCAGCAGGCGCGCGCCGTGGGGCTGACGGGCACCTTCCGCGCCTTCCTGTCCTCGCGCCTGCAGGACCTCTACAGCATCGTGCGGCGCGCGGACCGCGGGGCGCTGCCCATCGTCAACCTCCAGGTGGGGGGGCAGGGGCCGGGTGGGGGGCAGGGGCGGGGCGGGGCTGGGGTCAGGGCAGCGGAAGCCAACCGGCCCCGCGCCCGCTTGCACTTGCCCCCCCGCAGGACGAGGCGCTGTTCCCCAGCTGGGAGGCCCTGTTCTCGGGCTCCGAGGGCCAGCTGAAGCCCGGGGCGCGCATCCTCTCTTTCGACGGCAGAGACGTCCTGCAGCACCCCGCCTGGTACGTCCCCCAGTGCAGGGCCTCTCTGACCCTGCAGACCTGAGCAAAGGCCGCAGCTCTCACCGTTCCACGGCCCCGCTGAAGTCGTGAGCGCCCGGGGAGGCCTGAGCACCCGTCGCCAGGGACCCTTTGGGAGCACGCCCTCGCCTGCATGGCCAGCCGGCCTGCACGTCCTGTCGGCCGCTCGCTGGCCAGAAGCCCGGGGTTGCGGGCGCAGCACTCCCAGGCTGGTGCTGCGACCCAGGCAGCGCCTGCTCGGTGGCGCTGCGCTGGCTGAGAGGCTGTCCCGGGCAGCGGGAGCTGTGGGCTGGGCTGGGGCTGCCCATGGGCACAGACAGCACTGGGGCCTCAGGCCAGGGAGCTACTTCAGCGGCAAGAGGCGCGCTGGGAACCCCCTACTGGGCGCAGGCCTTGGGGGCTGGGCCAAGGCCCAGGACCCTCCCCTACCCGGCCCTGGGGGGCCCTGTCCCTGCCCCTCTGACGCCCACCCTCCCGCAGGCCCCAGAAGAGCGTCTGGCATGGCTCGGACCCCAGCGGGCGGCGGCTGACCGACAGCTACTGCGAGGCCTGGCGGACAGAGGGGGCGGGGGCCGCAGGCCAGGCGGCGTCGCTGCTGACAGGCAGGCTGCTGGGGCAGGAGCCCGTGAGCTGCCACAGCGCACTCATCGTGCTCTGCATCGAGAACAGCTTCATGACCGCGGCCGCCCAGTAGGCCCCGCAGGACGGCCACCCCACCCACGGCCGCGGAGCAGGAGCCCCGCAGGGCAGGGACTGTGGGGCCCGCGCCCCCAGGCAGGGACTGGCTGGGACACTTGACCCTATAGTTCACATTTCATGTAATCCTCAAGAAATACAAAAAGCCAAAGAGTATTTTTTAAAAAGTTTAAAACATCCTGGTGCTGAGACTCTCCTGCCCCATCCCAGCTCCCTCCACGCAGGCCGCCCAGCACCCCTTGTGCGGAGGAAACTAGAGCTGTGCGTGCGGGCAGCCCGGTGCAGGGCCTGCCCCCTCCCTCTGGACGCGAGCCAGTGGCAGGGGGGCCTGCCCGTCTCTCCTGCCCCCTGCCGTGCACTGCCCCACTGCAGCACCCTCGCGGGCCAGGCTACCACCCCTCCCAAGGGGTCTATGAGGTCTTTCTAGGCAGATCTCAACCCCAGTAAGGGCCTCGCAGGACCTCTGGGAGGCTCTAGAGACTGGGAGTGGCAGGATCCTGTCTGGGGACCCTCACCCAGAGCTCTCCCAGGGACTGCTGCTGAGCCTGCTCTGGGCTCCAGTTACCTCTGAAGACAGGGCCTTCCGGGGGCCAGGACGGCTGAGCATGTACAGGCCCAGTGGAGGGTGGTCGCTGCCCACTTATGTTGGCAGCCCCGGCCCCCACCCAGCACACCCGTGTCACCACCCTGGGGGAAGCTGCAGGGACCCTGGGGCTCCCTGAGGGCGGGTGGGTCTGCTCAGCCTGGGCCTGTGTGGTGCAGCTCCTGAGACCCAATGAACCTGTCCCTGGGTGTCACCTGGCCTGACACAGCTCCGTTGCCACAGATGCGCCCCGGGCCAGGTGTGCGGGAACGCACAGGTGTGCAGACACACGGGGTCACGTGGGGCCAGGTGTGCGGGACTGACATGGCCTGAGGGCACTCGGACTAGCACAGGAGCCTGAGGTCTGACCCCAGGAGTCCCCACGAGCAGGTGACAATAGACCTTGAAGTGGACCATGTGCAAGGTGGACAAGGGCCAGGGCCAGGCCCTGCAAGCTCAGCCTGGAGGGGGCAGCGCTGAGCCCTGGGCACTGTGCTGCCCCTTGCCATCAGCGTCTCTAGGGACTGTGGACAGGCCTGGGGACCACCCACCCTGGACAGCACCCTGCATGGCCTCCTGTATCCCTGGGGTGTCCTGGACACCCCCACACCCGGGACCCCTGCAGCGCAGCCTCCTTGGCCCTGTAGGCTCAGCTGCCAGCCTCCCAGGTGGTGCCCTGAGGGGCTGGGGGCAGGGAGCCTGCTGGGGGCCTGCCTGTGCGGTGGGGACAGGAGCCCCGCTGGGCCGCTGCTCAGCGCTTCAGGAGGTGACTGTCTCCTAGGGCGGGCTGGGGGGCGGCCAGGGCACGCATGCTCCCTGGACACCGGGGGCTGGTGGGATGGACAGTGGGGAGAGGGCGGGGATGCGCGCCAGCCCCACCGCAGAGTCTGGCCGCAAGCTTTCTCCTCGAGCATGTCGGCGGGAGAAGGGCTAAGCACCGGCCCTGAGACCCCTGCGGGCATCCGGCGCCGACCCCCACAGGGCACAGTGGGGCAGGGGGCCTGCGGGCACAGCCAGACTTCCAGGGTCACCCTGGGCGTCGGACAGCAGCGCGGCCAGCACAGCCCCAAGGCAGGCGGTGCTCTTGGTGGGCTCCGGACAGGCCCCTCGGGCCGCACGTCCTGCAGTCTGGACTCTGGAACATGGACGGCGCCGGAGGGTCCGCTGGTCGCACCGAGAGGCCAGGTCGGCTCTGACGTGTCGCAAGGACGGGAGGTGGCGCATGCCTGGCCCCCGGGCGGGCAGGGCAGCCAGGGCTCAGGCCTTGGCAGGGGGCTCCCACGGGCTGTCCGGCGAGGCGGGCGGCAGGGACCCGAAGACGCCGTCCTGCACCTTCCCCTCCATGGGGCCGCTCAGCTCCTGGGCCTGGGGCAGGGGCCGGTGGCGACCCCGCTGGCAGTGCTGCAGGCCCCCCAGCAGAGCGCCCAAGAAGTAGAGCGCAGACAGCAGCACGAAGTAGGTGAAGTACACGAGAAACTGGAAGAGAGGGCGCCAGTGAGGCGGGCGGGGCTGGGCCAGGCACACAGGCGGCGCCCTGCTCTCCCGTGTCCTGCAGGCCCCGAGCTTGGAGGGCGGAGCCCAGAGGATGCCTTGAGGAACAGGCAGTGCGGGCCCGTGCCCTCTCCACACCTGGGCCGCGCGGCACACACTGGCCCGGGGATGGGCGAGGACAGCGTGGCAGGGAGGACACTGGCACAGAAACGTCCCTCCTGTTCCACAACCGCTGGGGCCCAGGAGACCCAGGAGGTGGGGGGTGCCCACCGTCAGCCCTTGGCACCCCTCACGCCTCCCAGGCGAACTGTTTCCAGAAGCCAGGGGACGGCCTGGGGACTGTGCCGGGAGCCGGTGCCGATGTGTGCTCCCTGAACCCCAGGCGGCTCATGCCCGGACCACACACGGCGCCCCAGAGTGATGGGGACACACCGGGGCCGGGGCCAGCAGCGGTTCACACCCAGGTGACCCGTTTTCCCTTTTTGCTGCAGCTGCTTTAGAACCAAAGAAATCAGCAACCCAGAAATGCAAAAAAAAAAAAAACCCAAAACAATAAAAGCTGTTCTCTGCCCGGCCAGGAGTGGACCCCCAGCAAGACAGGAAATGGATCCACCAGGACCACCTGAGGCTGAGGGGGCGCCTGGACCCCTGCCCTCCTGACGCAGACAGGCTACGGGCCAGCTAGGCCCATCTAGGCCGGCAGGGGAGCTGGGCCCCTCGCCCTGCAGCGACCACGTGGACAGTCTGAACTTTCACCCCACCAAGTTACAGTGGAGACGCCCCACCCCAACCCTGCGGGGCCGGAGCTCCTACCTGCCACTCCTCTGAGTAGCAGCGAGAACACACCCCCCGCCCCAGTGTGTCACTGAGGTGCACCGGGTCACTGAGGAGGTTGCCCTGCCCCCCTGACCCTGGAGGACACATGGGTCTGGAGCTGCCACCGCACCTGGTGCTTTCCCTGCGCAAAGCAGAGCAGTAGCCCCATCACACCTCTGTGCAGGTGAGCCAGGGAGGCACCTGGGCCCCACAGCACCTGAGTCGTGCCCCCGATGTCCTCCGCTAGAGCAGGATGAGAAGAGGCCAGCTGGGGCCTCCCTGGGGGTGCCGGGGTTGAGTCTCGGTGCTATGGAGCTGTCCGCAGCCACCGCACCATGAGTTTGATCCCCGGCCAAGGAGCTACCCACAGGGCGCAGCAGACCCCTCCTGTCTCCCCGCTGCTCCCCTCAGCAGTGGATCTCAGTGGGCCTGCCTGTTCTGCTCCCCACTCTGTCTCTGGGGAGTCCTCTCACCCCCTGCATCTCTGGCCTGTACCCCAGTTCTCGTATGCACAAATAAATAAATAAATAAGATGCTCCAACAGCTACACCAAACACACCTGAAGCAAATAGGATGTCTCAGAAAAGAGCAGAGCCTGAGGCGCACATTCACAGCTAAGAGACAATTAAAATGCAAAGAAGTGTCTGCACCACACAACAGAAGGGGCAGAGAAACACTGAACGGGAAGAGGGAACTGCAGAAATTACCCGATTACGGACAGAAAACAGCCTGGAAAAAACACTGTCGACAGAGTCTCACTGCCTGTGTCACTACGTGGCCGAAGACGAGGCCCTGTCGCCAAAGCCCCGGGGGAGACCGCGAGAGAAAGGGGCTGAAAGAGTCTTGAAAAGGAAAACGTTGAGGGCCTCCCTGGGGGGCGCAGGGGGTTGAGACGCAGCCTGTGGAGCTGTCCGCAGCCTCTGCGGCCTGAGTTCCAGCCCCAGCCAGGGAGCTGCCCACGGGGCGCAGCAGACCCTCCTGTCTCCCCGCTGCTCCCCTCAGCAGTGTCTTCGGTCCTACTGCCTGTTCTGCTCCCCGCTCTGTCTCTGGGGAGTCCTCTCACCCCCACACCTCTGGCCTGCACCCCAGCTCTTGTGTGCATAAATCTTTATTAAAGAAAAAGAAAGAAAAGGAAAAGGTTGAAAACAACCCAAATTTGGCAAAAGACGTAAACCTACAGATCCGAGAAGCTGAGAGACCCTGCGCAGGACAAACCCAGCAAGCGGACCACGCACCAGTCAAACTCCTGAAGCTAAAGACAAAGGAAAAAGCAGCATCTTGAAAATGGTCAGGAAAAAAGATGACATCATAGAGAAAAGGCAATTGAAATAGCAGAATTTTCATCCCAAACCACAACGGCCCAAGGAAGTGTCCTCTTCCACATGCCCAAGGGACACCCGCCCCCGGCAGCAGCCCAGAGCCAGCGGGAACATCCCCAGGGGAGAAGCCACGATGTTTGCGGCTGGACCCTGTGGAGCACACGGGGCCCAGGAGAAACACAGACGCTGCAGATGCCGGATGCTGAAGACCCGCGAGCAGCAGCAGGGCCCCAGCCCGGGTGGACGCACCCTGTGCACTCAGCGAGACAATCCACAAGGCAGAGAGGAAACCACACGGTCGCCCGCACGGCTGGTCAGTGTCCACCCAGCACCCGCACCCGCGGGCAGCACGCGCCTGGCACCGGGAGGGCCCGGCCTGCAGGCTGGGGCAGGCAGCAGGGCCTCGCTGGAAGCTCTTGCAAACCCGCGCCTTCCGTGACTCCGCAGCCCCTCTGCCGGGCACAGCCCCAGCGGCCTGACAACGCACGCCCCCACAAAGTCCTGCGGTGGCCACTTCCGGCTGCCCCGCCTGGGACAGCCCTGGCCAGAGACGCCGGCGGCCAGGGCAGGGAGGCCCAGGGAGTGGCCCAGAGAGGCACGCAAGCTCCACCTGCGGAAGCCAGTCCCAGCTGATTCCGCCGGGAACGCCCCGGAGATGGGGCCTGCTGCGGCTCGGGCAGGGAGCGCCGGGCCGTGAGGGCAGCCCCGGGGGCGTCCTGCCCTGGACTGTGGGGTCACCACCCCAGAGGAGCCCTGGCGTGCCCCCCGCAGGGGACCGCATGGGCAAGAGGAGAGGCTGATTCTCCGAGCAAGCCGCGGCTGCGCTGGGTGGGCGGGCGCGGCAGGGCGGGGACGGCAGGGCTCGGGCGACTGTGCGGCCACCCGGGCAGTTCTCCGCTGTCCTCAGAAGCGCCTGAAGTCACTGGGGTGGATGGCGACTGGGGCACCCTTTCCCGGTCAAGGCCTCGATGCACAGGGACCCGGCCGGAGAGGAGACTAGGCCAAGCCTCACCCTCCCTAGCCAGCAGGACGCTCCTGGGCCAGGATCCTCCCGTGGGGTGTAAGGGGAACCGGCATCCTGCCCCGGCAAGGCCGACCTAGGGCCGGGCACACAGGCCCCGCTGGCCCCTCGGGTCCCTGCTGGCTCCGCCCCCCGCAGCCACGGCTGGGGCTCACCTGGTCATGGACCTCGAGGCCCAGGCCGCGCTTGTCTGACACAATGAGCGTGATGATGGTCTTGAGGACCGTGGCCAGGAAGGTGTTGACCCCGAAGACCAGGGCGCAGAGCTCCTTGGACAGGGAGGACGCGATCTGAAAACTGCACGGGAGAGCGGGCGGTGAGACGCGGGGCAGGGCCCTCGGGAGCCGGCCAGGCAGCGGGGGGACAGGCTGGGGACAGGGAGCCCCGGCCCCTGGGGGCTGCCCAGCCCCACACCCAGCGTGAGGACAGGCCCGACGCCCGGCACCTTCCCCTACGCCACATGGAACACCCTGGGGGGGAGGCCTGCTTCACCCACCAGAGGCCAGTCAGGGCGCACCCGGCCCGCCCGCGCCGCACCCACGGACTCACGTGGCGATGGGCACCAGGAACTGGTAGGCGCCGCGGAAGAGCACGAAGGCCGCGTAGCAGGGCCAGAGGGTGTGGGAGCTGTACATGAGGAGGATGAGGCCGGCCTGCGCGGCCGTCACCACGCTGATGACCAGCTTGGCCCACAGCGCCCAGGGGATCTTCACGAAGCCCGCGGCGAAGGAGGTGCAGGCACCTGGGGCGACAGGACAGGTCAGCGCGGCTGGGGCGCGGGTCCGGGGAGCACACAGGCGAGGGTGCACCCAGGCAGGGGGCGCACGCAGGCGGGGACGCACCCAGCAGCGTGGAGGCGGCATCGGCCGCGCCGTTGTAGGCCGAGGCGGCCTCTCGGGTGGGCTGCAAGACGCTCCAGAGGATGTGCGCGTAGTAGATGATCAGGTAGTAGCCGGCCGAGTTGAAGACCCACCAGAGCGACCAGAGGCGCAGCTGCGGCCGCCGCAGGCTCAGCCCCAGCTCCCGCAGCATGCGCACCAGCGTCCAGTCCCGCCAGCCCCGCCCGGGGCCGGCGTGCATGGGGGCCAGCTCGGACGGGGGCGCGGCCGCGGGCGCGGGCCGGTTGAAGAAGAGGCTGCGCCGGGGCCGCTTCAGGAAGAGCGCGAGCACCAGGCTGAAGGCGAGGAAGGCCAGCGAGACGTGGTTGAGCGTGGCGAAGGACACGCGGCCCACGCTGACCAGCAGCTGGCCCAGCACGGAGCTGGTGAAGACGCCGAGCAGCACCGCGGCCCGCGAGTAGCCGGCCATGCGCTGGTAGCGCGCGGGGCGCACCAGCGAGAAGATGTAGGAGGAGTAGGCAATGCGCGCGGCCATGGTGACGCTGTAGCACACCTCCATGAGCTGCATGTGCAGCACCGAGCGGCCGAGCAGCAGCAGCAGCCAGGCCGCCACGTAGCTCAGGCCCTGCAGCACCAGCACCGGCTTGTAGCGCAGGTAGTCGGTCAGCAGGAACACGGGCACCAGCACCGCCAGGTAGGCGTAGGACAGCACCGGCGTGATCTCGTTGGTCACCTGGAAGCAGGCGGCCTATGACCCCGTGTCCTGCCGCCCGCAGGCCCAGGGGTTGCCCCCCACCCCGGGAGCCCCGCCCCCTGCCCCTGGGGCCGCTGCCGCAGGGAGCCTCCCGGCCTCTGCCTCCCGACTGCCCACCCCGGTGGGCGCTGACTGCGATCACCGCAATTTGACCGGCCCTTCAACCCAGCAAAGGGCCAGCAGGGCGGCCAGGCACCGACATGGACTGCCTCATGGGGGAACGTCTGTGGAGGATGGGGCGGGGTGAGCATGCTCCCCTCACACCTGCCCCAGGAAGGCCACAGCATGGCCTCCCCAGCTGCAGGGTTGGCGGGGAGGCACAGGCACCGGCCAGTCAGGACCAGCTCCACCACCTGCAGGGGGACGGCCGGGGGGGGGCCACTCCCACGGCCCAGCAGGCTTTCGGCAGTGCCCACACCTCCCCTGAGTCCGCCTGGTCTGTCGGTCAGAGGCACCAGCTGGCTCTGGGCCTGCCTAACTCCAGCTGACCACCTGCTAACACCAGGACCGTCGCTGGGCAGCCCAGGCGGCTCTCAGCCCGGGCAGCAGGCCAAGGCGAGCCTGGGGCACGTGGCTCTCTGGCCGGCTGCCCCGCACCGGCACTGGCCAGTCTGGGCTCAGGACCCCGGTCCAGCCCGGGCTCAGGCCTCCTGGGCTGACTGCAGGGACGCCCTCCCGAGCCCCCTCAGACAGCCCCGGCCCGCCGCTGCCACGTGAGCACCAGAGGCCCCAGGTCACGCGGGGACATTCCTTTGGGGCGGGAGGGGCGGAATAGCGCACGTGGTCCTGAGAACCACGGCCAGCTCCAGGGGGCCAGCTGTTTACGGAAAATTCCATGAACATCAAAAGCCCCTCCTGGCAGCTGGCCTGGCTCAGCCGCAAGGGCTCGCTGTCCTGCCGGCCACCCCACCTGCCCCGCCCGCGCCCACCCTCAGGCTTGGCCACACCGGGAAGGAGCGGGGAGGGCCGCGTCCCGGCAGGCGCTGCTCTCGGACAAGCAGCCTCCTGACCCCGGCCCAGCCTCGGCGGGGTGGTCCCGGCCCCAGGCACTGGGCTGTGGATCCGGCCGACAGCAGCACAGGGCCGAGCCGGACCCCAGACCCGGGCCGGGAGGCGGCAGGGGAGGCGCAGCCTGCGGCTGGCCCCACAGCAGCGCGGGCCCCAGGAGCAGTGGCGTGGGCAGCGCCCAGCAGGCCAGGGCAGCCCAGCAGCGACCCGGCCGTGTCGAGTCCCACTGAGGGCAGGGCCAGCTGGGCGCTGGGAGGGTCCTGCCGTGCAGGCCGGGCTGGACCGGGAGGGGCATGAACCCCGACCGGCCCCGGGGCTGCGGCGTGGCGGAGGCCCGTGCGACGACGCTGGGTTCGGCGGCCACACGCCGCCTTCTGAGGGCAGCTCGGCCCTCTAGGTGTCAGGAAGGGGGGCCGCGGGGTAGGCACCGCGCAGGGGGCGGGCCCAGGCCAGTGCTGGGCAAGACCCGCACAGACGCCACCCCGCACCCTCCCGAGGCACCCAGGGCCGCGCCTCCCTCCACCCCGGCTTGGGCTCCCGGGCAGCGTGGCCCGAGGGCAGGACGCTCCGGCCTTCCGCGGTATCTTCCCAACGGGCACCTCGTCCCGTGGCCACTTACACCCCAGCCCCTCCCCGGGCCTGCGCCCTCGGTGCCGGGCTGTGTCCAGGGGCTGACCCCTCTGGCTGATGTGGGACGGCCGGCGCCTCCTCGCACGGCTCACGCCCTGAGCTCCGCGGCGCGCAGGGCCCAGCGGGGCAGGGACGGGCCCCGAGGACAGCCTGCTGCTGGGGCGCCAGCAGGTCAGCGGCCGCAGCCAGCTCGGGGGGCAGACCCTGAGCTTCCTCCTGGGGCCCGAGGCTGGGGTGTGGCTGGGTGGGAGGCGCTGCGGGGACCCAGACTCACCCCAGGGCACGAGCCCCTGACCTGGCTGCAGGAAAGGGAACCCCCTCGATATTCTTGGGGTGCACAGCTGTGCGGCCTGTTAGGCCGGGGCTTCCTCTCCTGGTGCGGCGGCCCCGGGGCCCACTCGGGCTCGGGTCTGGGAGTCAGGGCCTGAAGGAGCCGCCAGGGGGCCACCAGGACCCCAACTCAGCAGGCTCGGAGCCCAGCCCCCCACCCCTGTGCACCCCACGTGCCTGCTGCCGCGTGAAGTTCTTGTCGGGGGACAGCAGGTAGGGCGTGATGAAGCTCTCCCCGGGCCGCAGCTGGGCCATGAAGCCGTAGAAGCACAGGTAGCCCACCAGGCAGCGCCAGGCCCGCTGCTCCCGGCCCGGCCCTGGCCCCGGCTCCTCCGTGGGCGGGTTGGAGGGCACCATGCTGGCCCCCCAGGGGAACCGTCTCCTGGAAGGAAACAAAGCGAGAGTCAGGGCCCCAGAAAGGCAGTGGGGGCCCCCGCCAGCCAGGCAACTCCGGAGAGGGAGGGCTCACGTGGCCAGCAGGGGTGCAGCCCAGATGGCCCCTCAGACCCCGCACATGCCAGGCCGCAGCACACGGGTCAGCCAGCCGCACGCCGGCACCTGGAAGCGCCCCCGCAGCCTGGGACCCCAGCAAAGCCCTGGGACGCGGCAGACAAACCCACCACGGGGCGGGCGGGGGGAGCTAGGCGCCGGCCAGTGCACAGCGGGGCGACAGGAAGGGGCCACAGCAGACAGTGGAGGCCCCAGGGGCCCCAGCATCGCCAGAGGCCCCCGGAGAAGCGGCCAGGGCAGGCTGCGGGCGGCCACCTGGGGATGGAGCGTCCAGACGCGCCGGCTGGCCCTGCAAGGGGTGGCTGGTGGGCGCTCTGCGGCGAGGCCTCCAGACTTAGGCGCGCCATGGCGGGTCCTGATGCCGTGCAGGTGTGGGCACCCCCACGCCGGCCCGGGGAACAGGCTCCCCGCTGCCGTCTCCACGCCACTGCAGACGCAGACGCTACGTCCCTTCTGAGTCAAAGACGGCAGCCACCAAGAGGGGCCAGGCCGGGAGGTCCTGGTCAGAGGGGCCGGGTCAGGGGGTTCCAGGTTAAGGGGGCCGGGCTGGGGGGCCTGGCTAGAGGGGGCCAAGCCAAGCAGACAGGCCCTCCTGGCGGGGCGGGGCGGCTGGGTGCAGCCAGCTCCTGACACTGCGGCTGGGGGTCTGGGGGGCACGTGCTTGGGTGAATCCCCCACGATCCCCAGGTGGCAAGTACAGAAAGCCCCGAAATGTGAGATGAGCGCTGGGGTTCGGGCAAGGAGGAAAAGCCCCTGACTCGGGGCTCGCAGGCACGCAGCTCAGAGACCGCCTGCAGAGGCGCCCCCTCCTGTGAGGAGTCCCGGCCCCCAGGGACCCGGCCCCGCGCTGAGAACCGTGCGGCCCGAGCGAGGCCGCTCCGCGGCTCCTGCGGCCCTCGGGCCAGCTGCTGTCGTGGGGCCACAAAGATGAGGGCTGGGGCAGCGTGGCCTTCCGGCTCCAGAGGCCCCCGGCGAGCACAGCTGCACTTGGAGGCCCCGCGCGGCCCCGGCCAGAGACCCCGAGGACTCGCCGGCCAGTGCGCGCAGGGCACTGCCTCAGGCGACCCGGCAGGCGGGGCACAGTCCTCAACACAGGTGCCCCAGGCCGCTCCCAGCCCCACCCAGCACTCCCAGGGCCCAGCCCCAGCCCAGAGGGGCCAGCTTGTCCTCTAGGGCCACGCCACAGAGGACACCCGACGAACACCCAAGGGCCTCGGGGTGCCTGGGCGCCCCGAAGGCTCTCCCCTCCCACCACGGGCTCTGACCGCGCCCAGGCCACCCCTCCAGCTCCGGCCTCGTCTTCCGGGACGCGCTGGGCAGCTCAGCCTGCTCAGAGCCGTAAGCCCCAAAGTCCTCGCCCGGGAGGCGCCACAAGAGGAGGCCTGGGCTCGGGGTGCACACGCAGCACAGCCCTGCAGGCCCTGCCCCGCTCCTGCACCCCAAGGCTGGCGCCAGCGTCACTGCACACAGGCTCCCCGGCACAGCGCGCCAGGCAGGAGCGGGGACACGGGCCCCACCCGGCCGCAGTGGAGAGCAGGACCGCGGAGGGGACGGGGCGGCCACAGCCAGGCCACGCCAGAAAGTGCAGCCACTCTGGGCCTCCCCGGGGGCGCAGCGGTTGAGCGCTGGGCTGTGAAGCTGCCCGCGGCCTCTGCGGCGCCGGTTCGATCCCTGGCTGCTCCCCGGCCACCGGAGGAGGGTCCCGCATGGCGCGCAGACCTCTCCTGCCGCCCGCTGCTCCCCTCAGCAGTGTCCTTCGGTCCTTCTGCCTGCTCTGCTCCCCGCTCTGGCTCTGGTGAATTCTCTCGCCCTCCCGCGCTTCTGACTGTGCCCAGTGCTTGTATAAACAAAACAAACAAACAAACAAACAAAATAAATGAAACATGCCTCTAAAAAAAAAAAGAAAGAAAGTGCAGCCGCTCCTGCGGCCTCGCAGGCTCTCCTGACGCAGAAGACGCGGCGGGAGGGGCCGCCCCGCAGGCCGAGACCACCTCAGGCGGGCGGGACGGGGGACCCCCCGGGCCTTGCTCTGCTCCCGTGGAAACGAGACCTCACGCGGGGCCTGGGCAGGAGCAACGGGGGCGCCAGAGGGGCTGGCTCCACATTCGGCTCCTTGAACTCTGCTTTAGAACCTGGGGAGCCCCCGGGCCCTCCGCACGCCACAGAGAAGGGGTCCTGGGCCACGCACCGCCCTCCCGCTGGGGGACCCCGGGGCAGGGAGCGGCCGACACGGGGCCGGTCCCGGCAGGGGTCAGCTGCCCGCTCTCCCGTCCTCTCCCGCTCCAGGGAGGGGCCCATCACAGGCGGGGGCACCTGCACAGCAAAGCCCCCTGGAAAGCAGCTCTGCTCCCGCGCCCGCCCCCAGGGGCCGGGGTCACACAGGCCGGCAGCAGGAAACGGGGCAGCTGTCTCCCCGGAGAATACGGAGGGGCTCCCAGCACCCCACTGCAGACCCACACCCACAACGCAGGACCAGGCGGGCACTGGCCACCCCTGCCCGGGCCAGGCCGCTGCAGCACCAGCACAGCCGCTGCACAGGTCACAGCCGCCCAAGGGGGTGCCGTGGGGAGCACCCCAGCCCCGTGAGGGGTGGGCCGGGCCCACATCCGGAACTCGCCGGCCCCTCTCTGCAGACTGGTCTCTGCAGGGCAGCAGCCCCGGCCCCAAGCCTCTCTCCCCTCCCGGCCTTGGGGCTTCCAGACACCCCGACTTCCCAGCGCCCCCATCCCGGGACCAGGCGCTCCGTGGGCAAGGGGAGGAAGCCCAGGAATGCAGGTGTGGGCCTGGGCAACCTCAGGGCCCGCCAGGGCTCCGGCCAGGACAGGTCGAGGGACGGTCCCCCAGGCAGGGCCAGGCAGGTCGCCCGCAGGGCAACAATGCAGGGCAGGCGCCGCCGGACGTGGGTCCGCCCCCCCCCCAGCCCACGTGCCGCGCCCGCCCCACCCCCGCCCTGCCCCGAGGCCCCAGGGGCGATCAGGGCCCCAACCGGCCCGGCAGGCCGGGGAGTCCTCCTGGGGGCGGGCTGAGCCGCACTGGGGCGCGCGGGGCCGCGGGGGGCTGGGGAAGTCCCCACGCGGGCGGAGGCTGTCGGGGAGCGGATGCCCTGGGCCAGCTCCCCGCCGGCCTCGGGGCGCCACCCCCTCCAGGCCAAAGCCGGGGAGGCCTGGGGACGCCAGCCCCGCCCCGCCCCGCGGGGAAGGTGCCGGGCCGCGGGGGCGCCAGCAGCCGGGCCGGTGGGAGCCGCGGCGGGTCTGGGGCTTCTGGCCCGGGCTGGGCCGCTCTCAGGTGCCGCCGGGGCGCGGGGGGCGCGGGGGGCGCGGGGGGCCGTGTCTCCTCTCCTCGCCCCGCCCCGCCCCTTTCCTGCTCCGCCCCGCGCGCCCCTGGGGGTTCCCGTCCCCGCGCGCGGGGGCCCGGCCCGCGCCCGGGCCCGTCGTGTATCGGGGCTGCCCGGGACCGCCCGGGTCACCCGGCACGCGCGCCCCCCGCGCCCGCCCAGCAGCCCCAGCAGCCCCCCGGCATTCACCTGCTCGGCGCCCCACACGTGCCACAGCCCGGGCGCGCCCCCCGCGCTCGCCCCGAGGGCGCCGGCCCGCACCCCGCACGCAGCCGGGACCCCACGCGCGCGCAGCGACCGCGCACCCCGGCCCCCGCGCCCCGCCACCTCCCGCGCCCGCGCCCCTGCACCCCGCGAACCCCACACCTGCTCGCGGCCGCGCCCGGCACCCCGGCGCCTCCGTGCCCGGCGCGCGCGCCTCGCGGGCCCGCGCGGTCTCGACCCGGCCCGGCCCGGCGCGGCTCCGCGCGAACCCGGGACCCGCGCACGCGGCCCGGCGGACTACGGCGCCCACAAAGCCCCGCGGCCGGAAGGGGGCGGGCCCGCCGGGGCGCAGAGCGCGCCCGGATCCGGGGTGCGGGCCCTGGGGACGCGGCGCGGGGCGTCCCCCGAAGCCCCACGGGCGCCTCCCTCCGGCCCCCCCACCCCGGGCCGCGCGCCCCCAGACCCGGCCGCCCCTCGTGGCGCCCCGGGACCGTCTCCAGAGACAGCCCCCCACTGCGCCCCCCACGGCCCCGCCCCCTCCGAGACAGCCCCCCCACTGCGCCCCCCCACGGCCCCGCCCCCTCCGAGACAGCCCCCCACTGCGCCCCCCCACGGCCCCGCCCCCTCCGAGACAGCCCCCACTGCGCCCCCCACGGCCCCGCCCTCTCCGAGACAGCCCCCCGCGCCCCCCCCACGGCCCCGCCCTCTCCGAGACAGCCCCCCGCGCCCCCCACGGCCCCGCCCCCTCCGAGACAGCCCCCTGCGCCCCCCACGGCCCCGCCCCCTCCGAGACAGCCCCCTGCGCCCCCCACGGCCCCGCCCCCTCCGAGACAGCCCCCTGCGCCCCCCACGGCCCCGCCCCCTCCGAGACAGCCCCCTGCGACCCCCACGGCCCCGCCCCCTCCGAGACAGCCCCCCGCGCCCCCCACGGCCCCGCCCCCTCCGAGACAGCCCCCTGCGCCCCCACGGCCCCGCCCCCTCCGAGACAGCCCCCCGCGCCCCCCACGGCCCCGCCCCCTCCGAGACAGCCCCCCTCCCCGGACCACCTCCTCCCGCCGTCCCCCTGACCGCCCTCGCCCGGAGCCCCCCCCCCCCCCCCCCCCCCCCCGCACTGACCCCCGCCCCGCCGAGCCCGCCCTCCCGGAGCCCCCCTGGGCCTCCCGCAGCCTCCCACCCCCGCGAGCCCCTGGGATACCTGGCCCTAGGCTGGGCGCGGGCCGCTCCTGGACCCTCCTGGACCCCGGGAGCCCCGGCGCCTCCTGACCGCGGGGCGAGCGCGCCCCCCGCCCCGCCCCGCCCCGCCCGCCCGCCCTGACCGCGGGGCCAGTGCCCGCCCCTGACCCCTGCGGGCGGGCAGCAGCGCGGGCTTGAGGTCCGGCGCCTCCCGGGGGCGCCCTCC